CCCGTAGGCTCATGACTCTCACGTTCACCTACAGGGACAGTGGCACCTGCCGCATGCTAGGTGTACGGATCCGGGGTAGGAAAAAGAGGTCTTGTTCTGCCTGTCACCTCCCACTTACAGAAGTGATTCCCCCAGTCCGCCAGCCACCCTCCCTCCAAAGATTGTGACGAAGCCAGTGAGACAGAAGGGGGGGCCATCTGCTCTAGGTGGTGGAAACTGGGCACACAGCCTCCATCCTCAGTGGCTCAGCAAGTAGGTGAAGTAGACACTGAAGTCCTGTCCCTGGCAGGGCAGCAGAGGTTGATTTAGAGTGTCCAGGACCAGAGTTATCACTCGCATCCCTGTTTTCCAGAGAGGAATGACTCTCTCCTAGTGTGACCACCATGTGACAGCTTGCGGTCATCACTAACCAGCTCATGTATGAAAGAGCAACCTTGGCATACTACAGGCACCGGGGCACAAGGTGGAAAAGGGGACGGAGGAGGCTGAGTTGTGGAGGCCTGGCCACCCTAGCCCTGTTTCATGTGCTGACCCACTTTGCTCGTGTGAGCTGGGTGGCCCAGATCGAAAGCTCCAGGGCTTTCTGGCCCTGCCGTTTGACGTAGGCCTGTTGACTTGACCGAAATTCCTATTGGTTTGCGTTGGAGAGCTAGTGTTTCCTCCCAAGTCGCAGAGACTTCAAATTCCCATCTCCGGCTACAGCATCTCTCACTTGCACTATTCTCATTTATATATCCGGACTGAGGAAGGACTGGATTTCACACCTAATTAAGAGAGATTGTATTGCCTGCTGTTTCCTTTCTTGTTCATTTTCCCTTGTGCACGGGCAGCTTTTTATTCTCATGCTAAGTCCTACCCCAGACCCCTGCCGCTTAAGGGACAGAGAGCAGCTGGGTTCCTACAAAACAAGAGCTGGGCCCTCTGTCACCTATTTCAGCACAAGCAGGTTTTCCCGTCAGTGCTCACGCCGTATTGTGCTCACTCGGGGAACATAATCACTTAGAATGAATGCGTGATCACTTTCTGCGGGAGAACTCCTTGCATGTTCCCAGTGAATGCCATCGCAGGCCGGCTCTGTATTTTCACTCCCTTGAAAAGGAGATAGGTTTGTATTTTAAAACACACAGAGAACGATTTTTAATCACTTTTTTCACTTTGCCATCAGTCCTGAGTTCATACCACTGTGGGGGTTACTAGGTGGGGTGGCCTTCCCAAGTACACATCATCTTTGTAAAGTTGTATGGTTTCGTAGAGAGGTTTTTTTTTATTATTTGAATAGCCCAAATGCCTATTCAGTGCCAATCTAGGAAAGAATGGAGTCAGCATTTTCACACCATTCCTTCCTATACAGTTCCTGAATAACCATCTAATCAAGGTTTGTGTTCAATGGGGACAAATCTTCTACAGTAGAGCATTTCAGATTTATTCCATTGGAATCTATACATTAATGCCCACTGGATGAAAAGGACATGTTTCACAAAAGCCTAGATGTTGCTTTGCTGTGGCAGAAACTTTTTCCCACTGTATTTGTGTTAAAAAAATAAAAGAAAGCCTGGGAAAGGAATTGCTCCAGCATTGTGCGCTGGAGGAAAGAGGCGCTTGAATGGAAAGGCAGGGTCCCCCATCGCGTGTCAGCAAAACCGACTCAGCCCTCCGTGGCCGTTCGCCGCCACGCAGGACCGGTGCACTCCGGAGACGGGTAGAAGGGGGTCTGTGAAAACCCAGGAGGCTTGTCAGGTCAGGTTGTATGTGTACAGGCTTGAGTTCGTCTCTCAGGTTTTTAATGAAGATGGTGGTACCATTACCGCAATAACTAGAACTCAGACCGTTTAACAGATATTTTTGTGTATACGTGATTGCCTCTATAGGGATACCTGATTGTTTAGACAGGCTCAACCACTTCAGTCAAATAAGCAGTTTGAATTTTCCTGAGATTGTGTGTGTGTGTGTGTGTGTGTGTGTGTGTATGAATGCGTGTGATGATAATGACAGTTTTTGCTGTTAACCATTTCCATCTCTAAACCACTTCCTTCATCACTTTCAGAGCCTGTTTTTCCTTCTGTGTCCTGAAAACTAGGACTGCCCTAGATCTTTGGGCAATCCACGTTTCACTCCTCAGCAATCCAGTGAAAGACCATCAAGGGGCAGGGTTTTCCATCCTAACCCTGCCACTTACTAGCTGCGTAAAACTTTGGGCAAGTCATTTAGACACTAAGAGCTTCAACCTCCTTTTTCATCAAATAGTAATAGTAGGACCTGTCCTAAATGCATATAAGGTTGTCGTAAATAGTGAATGAGATGCTACATATGAAAGAGCTTATACGCTGTAAAACACCACGTGGATATTGATTATCATGATAATTGGGATACAGCTTCTTCCCGGGATTATCAGAAGGGGGACATAGCCTTTCTGCTGGGCGCTGTGTGAGACTTTCCTCAGAGATGGTGCTTTGAGCAGAGACTCAGCTCATCTCCGTGGTGACAGTTTGACTGAAGTGAAAGAGACCTTGGGGGTGGTAACATTGTGTTTAGAAAATCTACCTGTTAGTGCCAGGACAAGTTGCTTTATTTCTTGCATTGTTCCATTTATGAACTAAAAAAAGAAAAAGTTATTTATCATATGACTGAGGCTATGTTGAAGTCCCAAGCCCTAGAAAGATGAACATTCATGGATATGTTTAGAAGTAGCTGGAGGACATGCTAGACAAACCTTTTCATGTGGCTTTACAGCAGACCGTGGGCACGTAAAGGCCAGACTTCATTCAGGGTCAGAGCATGCAAAAATAGTGAAGGAAATCAGAGCATGAAATCTAGAACCAACTGCCTGGGTTCAAATGCCATCATTACCACTATCACTACCTGGACTTGAGCAAATGTCTTAATTTCTCTGGCCTCAGTTTCCTTGTCTGAAAAATGAGGGTAATAACACTACCTACATCATAGGGTTGTTCTGAGGATTAAATGAGATAATATACATAAAGTAGTTAGACCAGTTCTAACAGCAGTGAGGATTCGACACATAGTAAGCTAAAAACAAACAAACAAACAAACACAACTTTGCTCCTGTCACTATTATCATGGTACAAATGCATGGGGCACTCAGAGAGAACCTGGAGTTTGGTCCACTGACCTGTTTTCCAAATATTCCTTCCTGGGCTATCAGGGCCTTCTGCTGGAGCCCTATTTGTATGAACACAATCCTAGAGGAGTCACATGATTCTTTAATCTGGCAAAGACCATTTCTTCTACATGATTAAAAAAAAAGAAAAAAGAAACAATAGCCTAATGAACTATTTTAGGCAAGGAACAGACCCAATGGAAGATGAAACAAGAAGGAATTCTTTTACATAAAAATTTGTGCAGATCATATCACTGAAAGTGAACAAAGATCCTGTAGGCATTTGTGAAGTTAAGCAAATACATGTGAGGCTGACTAAATGTAAAAATGGGAACAAAAGAAATGAACGACTGCGTGAAAGGATGTGGTCGCACCGACTGAGCTAGGGCAGCATGGAGGTCGAGGGAAGCAAGTAGAAGTTCCAGCTGAGCTCAGACTTCCCCGAGCAGTCCTCTCTCCTAAGGCAGAGGACAAAGAACCTGAGGAGATGCTTGCAGTCCATTACCTCTGCGGTTCCTTCTAACAAGACACAGGGAGCTGGGTCCTAGGCCAACAGTCAGCAGTACTTGGGCCACCTGGTTTTGAAAGCCCACTTCCTTGGCCTCCCTCTCTCAAGCTGATTGTTCAGTCGTGAAGGCAAGAATGGGGACTCTGACTAAAGAGAGATTTGGAGAGAGGGATTCTTTAGAGCCATTTGAGAGGTGAGGCAGAAAAAGAAGGCAGCCCTTAGACCGGTTGTTACAGCCATCTGTTTTCTTTCTCAGTCTGTGACCTACATGTCACTAACATGGTCCCTTGTCTGCACAGCCTGGGGCATAAAGATGGCCATGGGTCAGGCTGCCCACCGCCTCTACATAGCTGACTTACCTTCCTACTGGGAGCTGTTTGATACTTCCCTCTACCAAGTGCACAGAGAACACAATTATCTAGGGTGTTCATACATTCCACTCTGGGTTTAGTCCTGCTGTCCTGACCAATTGGTGACAGTGTTCCTTCATTCTCAAAGTGCCGAGCTTGAATGGTAAATATGACCACCTGGTGTGCTCAAGTCTCCCTGGTCAGTGCTGCCTTCTCTGAACTTAACAGTCCTTCCTCATTAAGCCTCAGAAAATTCAGAAAACCATCCTGTCTCATACAGCCACCCTGGAAAGTTCCCAGGTTGTCAGAGATGACAAGAAGAGTGTCATCTGTAGAATACTCTGTAGATACAGAAATAGCAGACAAATGTCCCAGTAGCTGGCAGATTACATTCTATACCCCGTCCCTCAACTGGAGAACATGGTAGCAGCTGTTTGGTGAACATCTTAAGTCGGGGTTGACTTTTCCAAGGATTTTTGTATACATGGGGTGGGTTTGGGGAATGTGCCACATAAATTAATAAGAAGGGAATTTGTTTTTGTACTATGAATATCGTTGCAGTTTATGACTACAATAAGGAACTTTGATAAGTTGGGGAAAATGTAAGCTTTCCTGGAGGACCTGGGCTTAGGCCTATTTAAAGCAGAGGCAGAGTTCCTTGAGGACAAGTCTTCCATTTGCCTTTCAGTTCTTATTTGCTGAAGCTGTGGGAGTGGCCGGCAAAGGACAGGTCTGCTAAGTAGGCTGCTCCAACTTACCACCCTGGCTGAAGCGCTAGGGGATTAATAGGGATTCAGTACCCCCAAATAGCTGGGACACTGTTGGGACACAATTCAAGGCCTTGTTCCCATAGGACATGTACCCACAGCTTGAACCCTGTGCAAACCCTGCCCATCTACCACAGAGCCCTCTTGTTCTGCAGAGGGGCTACTTCTGGGAGCAATGAGCATTGCCCACCGGAGACCCAGTTGTTAGGAATGCAGCTCTGACCCACGCCCTGTTTTGTGTCTGTTTTGCCATGCAGGTGACATCAGTTGCAAGGGGATGACCGAGCGCATTCACAGCATCAACCTTCACAACTTTAGCAATTCCGTGCTCGAGACCCTCAACGAGCAGCGCAACCGTGGCCACTTCTGTGACGTGACGGTGCGCATCCACGGGAGCATGCTGCGCGCACACCGCTGCGTGCTGGCAGCCGGCAGCCCCTTCTTCCAGGACAAGCTGCTGCTGGGCTACAGTGACATCGAGATCCCGTCCGTGGTGTCGGTGCAGTCGGTGCAAAAGCTCATTGACTTCATGTACAGCGGCGTGCTGCGCGTCTCGCAGTCGGAAGCCCTGCAGATCCTCACGGCCGCCAGCATCCTGCAGATCAAAACCGTCATCGATGAGTGCACGCGCATTGTGTCACAGAATGTGGGCGATGTGTTCCCGGGGATCCAGGACTCGGGCCAGGACACGCCACGGGGCACTCCCGAGTCAGGCACATCGGGCCAGAGCAGCGACACCGAGTCGGGCTACCTGCAGAGCCACCCGCAGCACAGCGTGGACAGGATCTACTCCGCGCTCTACGCGTGCTCCATGCAGAACGGCAGCGGAGAGCGCTCCTTCTACAGCGGTGCAGTGGTCAGCCACCACGAGACTGCGCTCGGCCTGCCGCGCGACCACCACATGGAAGACCCCAGCTGGATCACGCGCATCCACGAGCGCTCGCAGCAGATGGAGCGCTACCTGTCCACCACCCCCGAGACCACGCACTGCCGCAAGCAGCCCAGGCCTGTGCGCATCCAGACCCTGGTGGGCAATATCCACATCAAGCAGGAGATGGAGGACGATTACGACTACTATGGGCAGCAAAGGGTGCAGATCCTGGAGCGCAACGAATCCGAGGAGTGCACGGAAGACACTGACCAGGCCGAGGGCACCGAGAGTGAACCCAAGGGAGAAAGCTTCGACTCGGGCGTCAGTTCCTCCATAGGCACCGAGCCCGACTCGGTGGAGCAGCAGTTTGGGCCTGGGGTGGCGCGGGATGGCCAGGCTGAACCCGCCCAACCAGAGCAGGCTGCGGAAGCCCCTGCAGAAGGTGGCCCGCAGCCACACCAGCTAGAGACAGGTGCCTCCTCCCCAGAAAGAAGCAACGAGGTAGAGATGGACAACACGGTCATCACTGTCAGCAACAGCTCTGACAAGAGCGTCCTGCAGCAGCCTTCGGTCAACACATCCATTGGGCAGCCATTGCCAAGTACCCAGCTCTATTTACGCCAGACAGAAACTCTCACCAGCAACTTGAGGATGCCTCTGACCTTGACCAGCAACACACAGGTCATTGGCACAGCCGGCAACACCTACCTGCCGGCCCTCTTCACTACCCAGCCCGCAGGCAGCGGCCCCAAGCCTTTCCTCTTCAGCCTGCCACAACCCCTGGCAGGTCAGCAGACCCAGTTTGTGACAGTGTCCCAGCCCGGCCTGTCAACCTTTACTGCACAGCTGCCAGCGCCACAGCCCCTGGCCACATCTGCAGGCCACAGCACAGCCAGTGGGCAGGGCGAAAAAAAGCCTTATGAGTGCACTCTCTGCAACAAGACTTTCACCGCCAAACAGAACTACGTCAAGCACATGTTTGTACACACAGGTGAGTGCAGGCCCCTGGAAGTCTGGCAGTCAGGGTGGGTGTGAGGGAACAGTGGGACGGGAGGGGCAGGACGGCAGGTAGAAGAGAAGGTCTGGTGTCATTTTTCAGAATTTAAGGTGGCCCCATGATAAGCCATCTTTTTTTTTAAATCCTTACCCAAGGATATTTTTCCATTTATCTTCAGATAGAGTAGGAGGGAGAGAGAGGGAGAGAAACATCGATGTGAGAGAGACACATCGATTGGTTGCCTCCCACATGACCCCAATTAGGGCTGGGGACCGAACCGCAACCAAGGTACATGCCCTTGACTGGAATCTAACCCACGACTCCTTGGTCCACGGGCCAATGCTCTAACCGCTGAGCCAAACTGGCCAGGGCTATAAGCCATCTTTTAGAAGCCCAACTGTGCCCCCATCATAGGAGCAAAGCACTCTGCCACCAGAAGACAAAATCACAGAAACCCTTTATGGAGAGGGGTCAAATGGGAAAGAGCCTAACAAAGAATTTACAGGCAGAACATCCCTTAAATACATTGAACTTTGTAAACTGTTCTTTGATCCGAGGTGTTTAGAACTGGAAACGTCCTTGGAGGTCATATACTCCAGTCACCTCATTTTACAGCCCAAAGTCATTAGGCAGAGCTGGGATGAGGGTTTTAGTCTGTGGTAAGTTTTATATAAACCTTACCTTGAAGATGCCACAGCAAGGCTGGTGCGAGCTTAGGCTGCATTTGTGATCCCTGAGACAGGGAGGAGTGATAGACTCATTCTGTTTCCTGTTGCTGTTCTCCATTTTCAACATCTGGAGACCACAGTCTGTTGTGGGTATTACGTTTCAAAAGGACAATAGGCTAATTGGACACATGCAGAGGAGTATGACTGGGATGATGAAGGGACTCAAAGCCATGGCAGGTCCTGGGATGTTCAGACTGCAGGGAAGACTTGGGCATCATATAAGCCATACTCCAGTATTCCAGCTTCAGGGACAGCGTAATGTAGTGGTTAAGCCGGAGCTCTGGAGCCAGATTACCTGGGTTTGAACTTAGATTTAGTGACTACTGAACTTTGTCACCTTGGGAAATTACTTAACCTTCCCGTACTTCAGTTTCCTTGTCAATATAATGGGGATAATAGTGATAGATCTTTCTCTTAAAACATTTCCTTGCACATAAGCATGCTATAGATGATAGCTGTTATTAGCACTATCAACATTATTTAAATGGTTGGGAGGAAAAAGAGAGTACACTTGTTTTGTTTGGGTCCAAAAGGTAAAACTGGACCATGACTGGAAACAATAGGAGATTCTTTCAACTCAATGAGATGATTGTTGACAGTCAGAGCTGCTCCAAGGTGGGATAGGCAGCCTCCAAAGGGAGAGAATTCCTATAATTAGAGGTGTTCAAGGAGAGAACGGATGATCATTTCCTAAATGTGTTGTAGAAGGGATTCAATCATCAGGTGAGCAGTTGGGCAGGATGGTGTTTCATCCCTGGATCTGTGATTCTAGAGCTAGGATCTGACCTCCCAGTCAGTGCTCTTTCCTAGCTCCATAATGGGACAGACATAGAGGCAAGAACTCCATGGATGCTCTTCTATAGGAGGGACCATATATGTAATATGATAGGGTCTCTTGTCCCCGAAAATACCTGTTCCAACAATGATCGCCACATTTGAAATTCCTGTTATGAGAGTCACTGCTGGTAAACCTCTGGTTCCAGAATATCCTTGTTAAATGACAAATTAGTTTGCAGGGGAAAGTTACAAATTGAACTATAATACACAAAATCAAATTAGTTCCCCAAAGCAGCCTTGTTTCTCAGATTAGCTAGCAGGAATAGCCAGGGCATTGGACATAAAGCAGATCATTTTAAATTGGGGAATAGAAAGAAAGGACAGCAACAGACACTGAGACAAAGTACACAGCACGGAAATGAACAGCTACACCAGAACGTTACCGAAGGTGAACTTCTCCTGCTTTGCAGTTCAGCTTAAGTCAGGACATCATGTACCTTATATACCTTTATGCAAGTCAGTTGGTTTTAGAGGTGACAGTTTTCACACCTCTAAAAAAACATACTGATGAACTACTGAATTTAGGAAGAAAATCAGGTAGTGGTGAGTCACAATGTTGATTTGGGGTGAACGTGAATGTACTAATAACCTGAGATCAATCAAGGAAAGTTTCCATGTGGTTTGGGTATTATAATTATTTGGTAAATTAATCAAATAGTGATATTTTTATTTATATGGCAATTTATGGTTTACAGAGTACTCTCACATAGTTTATGTTCTTTCCTACTCTAATTAGCTGTCTTATAAACCATAAAATTAAGGATTAAGGGGGAAAAGGGACCATTTGTGGAAGTGTCTTCTCAGCGAAAGTTGACTTTGCTGGTGTTGAATAAACATGTCCCGTCTTTCCTTCCAGTAGACCTAGCAGATATGAAATTCACACATTCTAGTAGAGCACATATTGAAATAAGTCTTTAAATTTGCAACATAAAAGTTTCAGTATATTACTAAAAATTGTCTTTTTCATGCATAAACACATTTATCCAGTGGATTCACCAGAGGATTCTGTGGTTAACCCAAATAACTAGATTTGCCCATAAGAAAACCAGCAATGGGTTTGCACATTGGTGCATCATAGATACAAAAGCTATAAGTAAAATAATTTTATAAGTCTAAGTAATGCTTAAAGTGTAGCCTACAGAAAGGCAATAGACGGGGAGGGTCCTCAGTCCACTATGAAGGTGTTTGTATTGGTGTGTATAGCATGGCCACGTCTGAGAACAGGTGAAAACGTACATGTACTACTCTAGCACCTTCTTTAAAAGAAACCACATTCTTCTCTTGCACCCCAGAATTATTTGGCATGTCAGTTTGGAAGGGCCATCTGTCTACCAGGACTTTGTCTGACTGAAGGAGTCCATAACCTCACAACGTTTAAGAACAACTGGTCTAGATTTTCAAAAGGCAAGGCAGCCTGATCGTATGGAAATAATGCGGGACCTGGGTTCACGGTGGCCCACATTTCAAAACAAAGTTCTCTCCAGTTTCTTGGGAAAACATCACAAAAGTGGGGCCTCCCAACTGTACAGGAGCCCAGCAGAAATGGTAAAATTGAGAGGAAAAAGTCCCATTGTTGGTCTAAAAAGTGTCTAGAAAGTACTGGGGATACTTGGAAGAGTAGGGATGGACTCAGTATTCTAACCTATAATCTAACCGAAAAGAATCCTACCAATAAAGGGTATTAACAGAGCTAAAAGGAAAAAAATCTGGGTCCTTGGCATCACAGCTGCTAGGCATGGAGGCTGGCTTTGCATTTCAGTAGCTCCAGGTTTTAATGTAAGTGACACTTGCTTTCAACAGCTGCAGAAAATCAGTTTGAAATGTATTCCAAGTAGAATTCTGTGTAGTTGTTTGTTACCAATCCACATATTCATTGAAAGGAAGTGTTTGAGACAAATAAGTAGTCTATCATATTTACTCTGGAGAAAAGCTCTATCTTAGAGAACCAAGGAAGCCCTGGTTATAAAGCATATTCTAAATGATTATAAAACTAAAACGTAGAGTAGGGATATAAGTGAAAGATGATTGTACTGGAATTGGATTATTTGGGCCGAGTTTGGTTCCTCAATAGTGGCCTTACGCAAGTCACTTAATTTTATAACCCTCAGTTTTTTCTAATTTAAAGTGGAAATAATAATCTGCCTGCCTTCTGAGAAGCTATAAAGGTATGGTGCATGGGAGAGCTTTTCATTAAAGGTAAAGTACTACTTAATGTTTAAAAATTATCATCGTTATTACTTTACCCCCTTCTCCCAGGAGACATTGTTTCTTTGCTCTATATCCAATCTCTGCATTATAAGCTCTCAACAGTTTCCTTCCTCTATGGAATTCAAATGCTAAAGCAGTGTGATACTCCTTGGGTTTACTTTGAACTTCCTTCACAAAATGAACATATTTTTCTGATTCCTTAAGGATTTTTTTAAGAGTAAAAGAAAATCTCTCACCTAGTTGCTTTCTTCTGCCAAACACACCACAGTAGGACTTCATCTGTTCTAGGAGTCTCTCAAGTTCACTTGGCTGCATGTTTATAAAATTTGTGAGGAAGGACACCAAGAGTCAAGGAAGTATTTGAAAATGAGAATCAGAGAAAAAGCAAAGATGACACAAACCATTCCTGCCATGGAACAAAGCAAGACTCCTCTATGCTTCCTCCCAAGAGAAAAAAACAAAAGTCAAAGGAATGGGAATGGACGGGAAAGACAGAGTACATAGAAGGGTGTCAGTGTGGATTGGAAGGCAAGAAATAGGGAAAGTTCAAAGATAACTTTGGTTCTGGAAGTGTGAGCTCATGCCAGCAGCATGGAAATTCGTAGGTCCAGCCCAGACCCTGCATCAGAATCTCTGGGGAGGGAGCCCAGCAATCTGTGTTTTAACAAGCCCTGTTTCACAAGAATCACTTCCCTAGATGGCCCAGGTGATCAGGAGGATCTGGTTGCTTTTGTTACATAGCAATGTTCTCTAAAATTCCACTCATAAGAATCCATGTGTTTAGCAAAAGTAAACTGGAGTTATGGGTATCAGCTTGATTTCATTATGGAAGCAAGTATCTCTCATATAAGAGGTGAGCTGAGTCTCCCAAACTGCACGGGTACCATGCCAAAGTACCCCTTCAGGACTGACCCGTATTATCATTATGTGGGTGCCTTTACACCTTCCCATTAGAGTGTAAACTCTGTGAGAGCAGAAACAATTTTATGCATGATCATATATATAAAAGATACATATATATTTTATACTTCAAATATACCCAGCATAATACTTTACAGACAGTAAACACTCAACAAATATTGATCTATGTCAAATCACTTCCAAAAGGAAAAGTGATCTATTTCCACAAAGTGGTTTACTTACTGTATTATGTAGCTCCATAGAAATAATGCAAGAATACTTTACACATTTATATATTAAGTGCTTTCTCCAAGGGTGTGA